TTTTGCAAAATGTTCTGAACGTATTCAAAGTAAACGTGCAGAAATGTGACTGTTATATATTATATTGCTAAATTGTGCATTAAAGTAAAACAGGATTTTACTGTTGGCTGGAGCTTATTTTAAAACTATTATTTTCATTAAGGATTCATCCGCTGATTATTTTCTCTAATTTACTGATTTATTTTCTGGGGGGAAAAAAAGCGAAAATCACAGGAAATGGCATCACGAGTGCTTAAAATCCAAACAGCTGCTGATTTTTGTGTTGATTAATCATTTAAACTCTACTCATACGGACTGCTGTGTGCTTTAATTTGAGCTCTTCATACGTTTTTTGTGCAAAAACCTGATTTATAAACCAACTTGAGCTTGAAAACAAATGTCAAAAATTACATTAATGTACCATTAGATGTAGAAGTGCAACAACAGATAGATTAGTTTGTAACTACTGAATTAATTAGCAACTATTTTTTTAAGTTTTTGCCAAAATTCTTTGATTGCAGCTTCTTAAATGTGAATATTTTCCAGTTTCTTTCCTCTTCTATCATAGAACAACTGGTCATGTTGGGATCTGGTACTCAAATGAAGTAAAACTACCTTAAATTTGTATTTTATTCCATTATTTGAGCTAATCCCACTGCTAGTACTATCGCTGTATTTTCTCCTCAGTTTCCAGGAAAGACAAAAACACCTAAAATAGATCTGCTTCTATATTTCCTCCTGTGTGTGTAATTTTAGTGTTTGTCTCTTTATTTTTATTTTTATAATCCAGCCTTACTTTTATCACTGCCATCGCCGCTGATTATTCTCCAGCGGAACATGCGACAAAAAGAGGAATTACACTGATTGTAAATCCCAGAGAGCTGCACGCAAACGCTTTGTTTGTCATTATCACGTGTTCCTCTGGGTTCTTCACGGCAGATAAAGAACGTGTGTTCTGTTGATGCTAATGTAGAGACGCTCACGCTGGCTGGTGGGACGGGAGAGGTCAAGGTGGGACGGACAGGAAGTGGTGCACGAGAGCAGAACTTCCTGTGTGAGAAACGTTGCATGCATGCATTTGTATGTGTGTTTTTTTTAAAGGTCTATAAGTCACGCTGTGCAGAGATGCTTCGCCTTCCTGCTGCAAACACACATATTTAAGGAAGTCCCCAGATAATACAGCCTGGAGTCCACGGCTTCTATCTCGGGCTGCGTTTCCGCCCATTTGTTGCTCCTGTCATGTCAGAAAATGTTCCGTCCCGGCTGGCGGGAAACGTTCCCACAACGCTGGATGACGAGTTCTAGGAAGTTTGTAAAGACGGTGTTTCGATCAAATTAACGTTTTATCGTCGTCATTTTGAGGTTGATGTTGTCAGGAACACAGGTGACGTTCCAGGATAACGAAGGTAGAACGTTCTCATACCAACGTTCCAACAACGATTTCTAAATGTTATCAAGGCCTCCAGATGATTTGTCTATAAAATGATCAAAGGTGGAACATACTGTCCGCGATGTTCCCAGGATGTTTGGGGAATGTTGTTGAGGAACCCACTGTCGAACGTTCTCCTACAAGATGTTTCCA